ATCTTAATTTACTTTCAATCTGGTCAATTGATTTGTTAAAATATGTTGAGTTTTACAACTAAAGTGAAGATTATATCCAAGATTAAGGGAGGTCAAAGCCTTTGGAAGTTCGGTGCAAATAAATAGGGAAATAATATTATCGGGCGTAGAATTAGAGATTTTTAGAGTGACAGACTAAAATCCCCAATTCGGTCCTATCGTTTGGGTGCTGAAGTGTAGATGTTAGCCCTCAGGTGAGGGGAACGTGGGAGCTCCGAAGTGAGAGCCGGTATCTTCCCAGCCTAGCCGCAGATTCAGTAAACAAGCGTAGGATTAGTCAATGTTCTTTATGCCTGAACCAAAGGGTAAGGAATAGGTGTGCTCCTATTTGACACAATATAAATTGAACTAATTCTCTTTATCCATTCACTATAATTTCTTGACAAAGAGAATGATGCTTTCTTATATATTGAATATCACAATTAGACCCTATTTAGTATCATTAGTTATTTAATAGTTATTAAATTTACCTATTTATTTCAATTGCTTATTAGTGATAGATAAGCAAATTAAACTTTGTTGTTGTGATTAAAGTATTGCTTTTCTCAAATCTTTGTTCGCGGTTCTAAACCACTCCCTGTGGGATTGATATCTAGGACTCTATTAGAGCCCTATATTACTTGAGCGATACGTATATTTGCGTTGATGAGTGTACTTTACAATTATTGAATGTTTATTACATCCATATTTATCTTGTATTTTTAAGCATATATAAAGTCGCGGTCAACACAATACAAGTTCAACATGATCTAATTCAAGGTATTCAAAATGTAAGCTTATACCTAATTAGTTGTCTTGAATTCTGTTGGTAAGTAGAGTTATGTATCATTTGTGAGTAGACACAACCAGAGAAAATGATCTTGTATCGTAGAGAGAGAGAGAGAGAGATGGATCTGATTCCTTCGAGAAAGACTTGAGAATTATACTAAATTCAGTTCTCCGCAAAATCAAAGAGAGATGACTCCTTAAAACTTTCCTCGGGTATAGGATTAAGAGGGAAAGAAATAAGAGCTCCAAGATAGAAAATCTTCTTGGGAGAGAGAAGAGTCCTATTGAGGTTTTCTTCCCCCCTTTATACATAAGAGAGAGAGCCTATAAAATAACCAGCGCATTACATCCTTGTATTAACTTGATGTCTTTATATAGTCTCCTGATGGAAGGAGTGTGATGTCGATGTTATGTATTGTCACTTAAAACCATATATTATCGGTACGTCAACCATCCTTGATATCTGGGCAAAAGGACTGTCACCTCAGTAACAGGCGATGTCTTTAATAAGTTACTAACAAATATCCCTATCAATCATGTTAGCCTCCTCGAATTGTCATCCGTGTGCAAATGGGATAGAATATCTCTTCTAGAGGAAATTGAGTTTATTTAAATCAATCACTTCGGCAGTTGGTCTCGATTCATACCAGAGAGAATCATATGCTAAGAAGAATGGTAAATCTTACCGAAGAGAATCATACAAGTGAGGTGAGTGTTTGAATGAACACTCAAAATGTAACTCAAGCGTGTGATAATGAATATGCAAAATATCATGCAAGCAATACTAATGCACATGAAAAACACACACTATGCAAGTGAAGTTAGTTGTTCGATCTGCTGAGTCAACTGGGGTGGTCAACCCGAGGCAACGTAGCCAAGGGGCTCAATCAGGCTAAGGTGGCTGCTAGATCAAAGTGATTGGTCTACCGGGCTGGAGTGGCTAGTTATACAAAAGTGGTTGGTTGACCAGGACGGGGTGGCCGTTCAAGGCAAAGTACAATATGAAACATATAAATTGCACTTAATTGGCCAATCAATATGCATATAGCAGGGCCGACTAGTATCTACTAGCCAATTTATCTTGTGTGGGTGACCAATCCCACAGTGACACCCCATATAAGGTGTACACACAACCAGCTAATCAAGAGGCATATGGTCGTGCCGACTGCTATTGTTCTGTCATTTGAATCGCCCAATATCGAGATATTAATTAAGTCGGTCGATACAAGATGGTTGGTCATACATGCCTCGTGCAGTCAATCAAACCCACTAGCATACAAACAAATAATGCAATGTGCAAGGTGTAATTGATCACAATCAGTAGCGATCTAAACTCAACTAACACTCTTACATAGACAGTTAGGGTTTTAGTTTTTGGATATGCAGCATGCCCGCCTCCGGCTTTGGTGAGGAATGGGGAAAACTTCATCCTCCAATTTCTCATATGAGATATCCTTCACTGTTTGTAGGACGGACTAGCTACAACATTCTTGTAAGATGGGCTAGTTACAAAGTTTTTCTCATTCTTCAAGTTCCAACTGATTAAGCCCCTTCAAGAAATGTTGGAAGCACCAAAACCGTGGGAAATTAGGATTCTAACCTACTAGGATTTAGATCTAGGGTTTATAATGGGAAGTTACTTGGATTCATAAAGGATTTGGTTATGAATGAGCTTCTTAACCTAGGGCTTCCTCTTGGAAATCAACAACTCAAACCTAGCATTCTCTACAAACATCCTAAGGTTAGCTATGAAAGAAAATGCAAATGGCGTTAAAGAATTTCACCGCCGCGATGATTGATTGACGTCTCAAGCCTATATTCTGGATGAAGCTCTCCTAACAATAAGAGAGAATCCCATGCAAGCTCTTCCTCAAGGTAATGAGGAAGCTCTATTCTAGTTGGAGAATCTGGCTAAGTTTCGAGCTTCAACGAAGTTCCAACAATGCTCCGGTGATCCTTCCCCAAGCTAGGATGAAACTCTGGTGTAGGAGAGAAGAAGCCTTGCTCCTTGCTAGCTACACTCCTCGAGAAGATCTTCTCACGCACTCAACTGAAGTGGAGGAAGAAGGAGGTGAGGAAGAAAGAGCAGGAAGAAGAAGAAGCTCGAAGATGACCGACTCCCTTAGCTCTTCTTCTTAAGGAAGATGAAGATTCTCCTTCTACTGTTCCAAGCTCTAAACTCCAAGGAAATTCTAAGCTCCTTGAGAAAGAAGATAGAGTTCTTCTTTTAGTCCTCTCAAGCTCTCACAGACAGCTCAAAACTAAAAGTGAGAGGAGATGGTTTGAAATGTGGAGAGGTGATAGGTCAAAATAGCCTTCCCCTTCTCTTTTGCCGAAAATGGCCTTGTTAAACTTCCTTGTAACCTTATAAAAGAAGCCTAAAAGAGGTATAATCACCTTATTTTTTCATTCTCAAAGCAAA